CTGGCCTCCAGCAAGCTATTTACCTTCATTGTGCCTCCAAATGAGGTCATCAAGCTGCGACCTGATTGACAGGCTAAACTCCACCCCTTCACTCTTAGTAGTCTCAAATTGACACCAGATTATGTAACTACCACAGGGGTCTTTGAATAGGGACCTAAGTTAGGAATCTTGAGCTGGGGAGATCATCTTGGATTATCCAGGTGGGCACTAAATACAATGACAAGAGACAGAGGAAGAAGAGGAAAGGCCTTGTGACGATGGAAGCAGAGACAGGAGTCATGCAGCCACCAGCCAAGGACTGCCCAAAGCCACCAGAAGCCAGGAGAAAGTCATAGCAGAGATTGCTCCCTGGAGAATTAGGGGGAGCATGGCCTTGACTTTGAATGTCTGTCTTCCAGAGCCTTTAGAGAAGAAATATCTGTGGAAAGCCACCCAGTTTGTGGTGATTTGTTACAGCCACCCTAGAAAAGTAATACAGTGCCTTCACCCACCAACCCTCAAGGCAAAGGAGCCCTTTTCCCCACCAGAAAAAGTAAACTTATGTGAAACTGTACATTCCTATCCCTACACCTCCATCATCATGAGCAAACTCGACATGCACCCCAAGGTATTAGCTCGCTTGGGATAAAGCACCATCACATCTAAAATAATAAAAATAATAGGCAATTTTAAAAGTACGCTCTTACCCTGTTAGTGACTTCTGACACACTTCCAACTGTTCGTGTAGATGAGGTAACAGCTGCCCCATAGTCTCATCGCCGACACAGCAACTGATCACGTTGGGGTTCTCATGCGCTCGCTGCATTATCTTTATCCACGACTTGTCAATATTCTGAAAACGTTTTGCTTCCTAGAAAGACAAATTCACAGTCATTAAAGATGACCATTGGGATAATTAGACAAAGTTAAGTCTTCTATTTGGAATTCCCTACTATTTCAAATCAGCCTCTGTTAGTCTCAAGGTACCAAACTGGAGCATTTTTTTTTCCACCTGAATTAATTTTGAACAGCAAAACCCACTGTCCTAGAGCCGCATGTGAGACACTGCTTCATCAAAGCAGAGCTTACAGATGGTTTCCTTACAGGCAACATGTTTGTTTGGGGTTTGTTTGTTTCCCCAACATGCCACATGGTTAATTTGCAGAGCTACGTACTTGAAGTTCACATCCAGTCTTATAGCTCTCGGGTGTTTGGGTCTGATGAGCAAACCAAAAAAGCATGAGGGATGATTGAAGATAAGTACCTGGGCATGAGTGAAGATCAGTACCCACTATCATACCTCAATTCCTACTCACGGCAACCCCGTGAGGCAGCCTAGTACAACTGCTCCGATGGGTTTCCAAAAGAGTAAATCTTTATGGGTGCAAAAGGCCTCACAGTTTTCCAGAGGAGTAGCTGGTGGGTTTGAACTGATGAACTTGCAGCCCAATGCATAGCCCCCCCCATAAAGCCCATTGCCACGAAGTCCATTCTGACTCATAGCAATCCTATAGGACAGAGTAGAACTGCCCTATGGGGTTTCTTAAATCTTTAGGGAGGCTGACTGCAGCATGTTTCTCTGGTGAAAATTACCCCAGGGGGTAGAAAGACAGCACAAACCCTAAACAAAAGCTCTATTTGCATCTTGAAAAGGAAAAGTTTCTGTTTATTATGGATGATAATAAGCTTTGCGCTCAATTGCTATAATGCCTCTAGAAATTGTCATAATCTGGGCTCTTTAAAGAATGCGACTTTCTGATTAAAAAACAAATTTAAAAATTTTAAACATCATGCTATTAAAATGTGTTACAAGGGGAAATCAAAACATTTTGTCATTGATTTTTTTCCCCCTCTATATAAACCCTGTTTGTATAAACTCAGTAAAATCAGGCTTGATTTTATAAGAAGAATTTAAAAAATATCTTCACAGAACAAAATTACTGTCTATTATTGGTATTTATTTAAAAGGTCCTGAGCCTTGGTGGTGTACTGGGATGTGATCTTCGAGGTCGGCAGTTTGAAACTACCGGCCACTCCTAGGGCGAGAGACAGCTCCTCCCTCCCTTCAAGAGTCGCAGTGTTGGAAACTCAGGCGCAGTTCTAGCGAGCCGGCCTCAGCTCTATGCAATGAGTCTGGAGAGTTTGGGGTGGGGTAAAGAGTCCTGGTGGCACAGGGGTTAAAGCTGCTAACGGAAAGATGGGCAGTTTAAACCCACTGGCTTTGCCGTGGTAGAACTATGCAGCCGTTTGTTCTCATAAAGATGTACAGCCTTGGGTGCCCCAGTGGAGCAGTTCTACTCTGTCCTAAAAGGTTGCTACGAGTCAGAATTGACTTGACAAGAATGGGTTTGGTGGGGCAAAGGACAAAGTGTTTTCCCTACGTAAGATCGCCTTTGCCCTGGACTTCAGAGAATAGCCACTGGGGTAATGGGTGGTCTGAAACTGGCGGGCCACCTGACAACTTGTACTGAGGAGTCACGGCTGGCAGGACAGCTAACGGCTCACTTTGGGAGGCCAACATTGACCAGACGCAGGAGGCAGGATGTAGCCTATCAAGCAGGGCTGGCCAGTAAAAGCCATGGACATGAAGGCTCCGAGAGCTCTCTCGTCGATGAGAACATCAGCTCTTGGGACAGCGGCATTTCCCTGGAAACTGGGAAACTTTCTGTTGGGAGCTCAGGTGACGCCCCTTGCATCTTTTCATTGATCAACATTTTGGCTATAATAAATCAGTAGCCCAAAGTGTGGTACACTCTCCATAAATTCTGGAAATTGTTCCAGGGAGTTATAGGCTCCAAAGGGGTGGTGAGTGCCAGCAGGTCAGACATTAAGTGGACTCCTGCAGCTATGGCTGGCATCCTGAGAGGGTAGTGGGAAATCAGCTCTAAATTTGTGGCCAGCAGGTCAGCAGGGTGGGGTGTCATATGGACTCCCCCAACTTGTGCTGGTGCCTGCTTGTTTGGCTGCCTGAAAAATGATGTTCTTTTAACTTGTAAGCTCTGAGAGAACTCCAGGTGGCGAGAGAGGAGAGAGAGAGACTGCTCAGGGGGCAGCTGGCAGTGCAGATGGAGAAGTAGCAATGTGAGGGCTGTATTAGTCTCTGTATGCTGGGGATTGGGTTCATGCTGATCCTTACAATGCAGGCCCCCACAGAGCTGTGTTAACATTTTGTTTGTCGTGGGTTTCCACAGGTAAGTTTCCTTGTCTCCAATCCATTGTTCTCTGATCTCTTATTGAATTTACTAAAAGTTAAGGGCTGTCTACAGACTCTGAATTAGCTTTACTACTACTCTTAGGGGCATAGCATCCTGTTAACTCACGGAAGTGATGGCCCCTCCACATTTAATGGTACCCTGTTTTAATGTACCGCACATCCTCAGCACTCTGGAGATTAGTAATTTTGAAACGTTTCTTCTTTCTGCTGGTAGGAACCAGGGTCAACACCTTTTCTTTCTTTCTTTTTTCTGTAAAGGGCCAATCTTTAAAAAAAACAAAAACTAAAACTCACTGCCATCTA